AGGGTGTGCAAGCCTCACAAGCCAGGAGTCAGGTGTGAAAAGAGAGAGAGAGAGAGAGAGAGAGAGAGAGAGAGAGAGAGAGAGAGAGAGAGAGAGACTAACTCTTTTGTTCAGGAGCTTAAATATCAAATCTTGCTGTGCTTGTAGTGGCCACGCCTATTCTGGCCACTGACTTGTTCCCAGGTGTGATTGACAGGTAAGCATCTTCCCAGGTCACCCAGACCTTACTGGGCATACATCTATTGTCCAGTCCCTTCTCCCACTGATTTGGGAGGCACAGGCTTGGAGATGTTAACTGCAGCTTTCTGGTAAAGCTGTATAAAAGGCATGCCTGTATTATCTAGTCTTCCCTTTACTCCTTTCTGTTATTTAATAACCTGGTTATTATAATGGTATCAATTCCATGCAAATAAAGCTTTCTACCACATCTCATCCTCCAGGAGGAGCCTCCGGAAATGCTTATTCCAGTGGTACCCCAAGAAATCCACACCCACTAGCAACAGAGAAAGGCCATCCATGCATTTCTCCGATAACACTGTCTCTACATTTTCCACATCCATTTTTAGGGAATGATTGTCATTCCAAAGCATGACTATCTCATGGTGGAATTTTAAGCAATGTGGGGGAAGGTAATTTTAGGTAGTTTAAGAGAATTTTTAGGTAGGGGAGTATTGCTGATACCAACTTCTACAAATACTTCTAAATATTCGAAAATTTCCCAAATGGAAATATTCTTCCCAAAAAAGAGCCTGGGGATGGGGGTGAATAAAGAATAAAGTACTAAAAGTAACCAAAGCAAGATGGCTGGAAAGGTTAAAGGTAAGAAGCCCTCTGTGTCCTGGGGTGTGTATTACCTGACCTCTGCAAACAGAGTATTCATTTCAGAGAACAGCCTGAGGTGGTCCTTGGGTCAGCCTCTATCTGATGACAACAGCCAGGTGCACATCCTGGAGATGGTCTTCTAAACTTCTGCCTTCTGTTCCTGTGACCTCTGACTCTTTCTTGGTTTTATTCTGACCTTGAGGACTCCTCTTCTATAGAGGGCAACCCCTGGGTTTCCTGGTCAGCTCTCCACAGGTGTCCTCCAGCCAATGGCATCACTCCCATCACCCTGTCATTTTTGGGTTCTACCTACATTTGCTCTGCAATAGCTTGCTTTTCCAATCTAGTTGCATCATTGCCTAGGTTTGCTTCCCAAAATATAATGGAGCAGGACACTCTGGTCCCCGAATTCTGGGGCTCTTTATGATCATTAAACTGAAGCCCATCCTCCACTCAGGTTCAAGAGCCCAATCCACCTTTCCATCTTCATCCACTTTTCCATTCCCCCCCCCCCCGACCCCCCTCACAATTTAGACTCCATTCTGCTCACTATTCCCCATTTGTTTATCCAACAAACAACTACCCGGTACCTCCTATGTGCCAGGCAGCAGGCTAGGCACTGGACACAAGAATGAGTAAGATACCAACTCTGCCCTCAAGGAGCTCTGACTGTGGAGATAGTTCTGAAACAAGTCAAGATAATACAATGTGACAAGTGCTATAATAGAGATTAAAAGCAAGGTGTGCTGGGAGCTGAGGGAGAGTGCCTGACAGCCCAGAGTGCGGGGAGGCAGGAGGGGGGGACGTGAGAGAGGGTTTCACAGAGGTGCTGTACATTTGATCTGTGGTGGTGGGTAATTTCTGCTGAGGCAAAGTGCAGTTCAGGGTAGGTCGGGTGACATGGAGAAATGAACAGCAGAAGTTGGCAGGTAAGAAGAGGTTTCAAGGACAGTTTTCAGTAGAGTATGTGACACTGATGATCATCAGATGGGGGGAAAGTGGAGGACACATTAGAAGGCAAGGAGGGAAGAGAAGGGAGAGTGGTAATTGTCCAGGTGAGAAGGGAGGGGGGAGGATCTGGGTACAGGTAGTAGCTAGAGAATGTGGAAAGAGAGACATGTGAAAGCCAAGGGCACGGAGGCAGGACTCAGGAACTGGGGTAGGAGCGGGGGAGGGATCACCACTCTAATATCAGGGAGTTTCCAGGATGGTAATTCCATCCGTGGAGAGGAAGCAGAGGGAGGAGCAAGCTTTAGTTTTGTTGGGAGAGGACTTTAGTTTTAGAAAATGGAATCTGAGGGTCTGGCAGGCACTGAGGATCCATGGGGAGCTCTCCAGTGGAACTGGGAAGGGAGACAGGGGCTGAAGATACAGATTTTAGAAACCACTTAGAGAAAAAAAAAATTGTTTATCCTTTGACCCAGCAATTCTACTTGTAGGAATTTCTCCTAAGAATATAATTAAAGATATGTGTGAAGATTTATCTACAAAAATGCTCATTGTTTAATAACAGCGAAAGAGTGGAGACTTTTTATAAACTGCTATGACAATGAAAAAGGAAAAACAGTAGGGGATTGGTTAAATAAATTACGACATATTCTTGCAATGGAATTCTGTTCAACAATAAATGAATATTGTAGATGAATGCTTATTGATATGAAAAGCATCCACAATTTTTGCTAAGTAGAAAAAAGCAGATTCTAAAACAACTAGTAGAGTAACATCCCACTTTTTGTTCAAGAAAATAATTAAGATGTTAATGGTTCTTCCCAGGTAGTATGATTAAGAATATTTTTCTCGCCGAAACCAGTTTGGCTCAGTGGATAGAGCGTCGGCCTGCGGACTGAGGGGTCCCAGGTTCGATTCCGGTCAAGGGCATGTACCTGGGTTGCGGGCACATCCCCAGTGGGAGATGTGCAGGAGGCAGCTGATCGATGTTTCTCTCCCATCGATGTTTCAAACTCTATCTCTCTCCCTTCCTCTCTGTAAAAAATCAATAAAATATATATTTTTTTAAAAAAAGAATGTTTTTCTTTCTTCTTCTTTTTTTTTTTTTTTAGTTTTCTTACATTTAATCATGCATGACTTTTGTTCAGAGATAGTGGTTATTTTAAAAATTGAATAAAATTAAAAGGAATGACCTAGCAAGGACTCAGGGAATGAGAAGGTTGAGGGTGGAACCCAATTAACTTGCTACATCTGTCTATGCAGTTGCCTGTCCTAAGTGTCTCTCTCATATCATATTTGCTACATGGCTACATGGTAGAGTACAAGTAACAGGCTACCAACTAAGGGCATTGGGAAAACTTTTGATTCTCTAGTTCTGTTTCCTCATGTTTATTTATTTATTTATTTATTAAAATATATTTTATTGATTTCAGGAGGAAAGAAATGGGAGAGAGATAGAAACATCAATGATGAGAGAATCATTGATCGGCTGCCTCCTGCACGCCCCATACTGGGGATCCAGCCAGCGCAACCTAGGCATGTGCCCTGACCAGGAATAGAGCCAGAACCTCCTGGTTCATAGGTTGACGCTCTACCACTGAGCCACGCTAGCCGGGCTGTTTTCTCATGTTTATAGTAAGGAGAATAACATCATCCTCAAAATGGTTCTATGATAATAAAATGTTTAGACATACAGTAGCTACTTAATAAATATTAGTCCCTTTTCCCTTTCTTTTTACTCATTTTTCCTTGCTAGGCCCAGATTCGACCCCCAGAGGTGTTTTTGGCCCTCACAATGGGAATTAATGACTCTTCTCTCTGAACCCCCTAAGTGCTTTGCTTGGACCTCTGCTGAACACTGACGGGATAATACTCTGAACTGAGTCAGTGCTATCTGGTCTCTTCTGACTGTAGCTACAGTTGGGTCAGCTATCCTGGTAGCACCTAGCACATAGGGGGTGCTCTATGAATGTTTGTTGACTACATTCATGGTGCTTTTATGACTTAGCTAATCATGGGTTACTCAAAGGCTGGATTACTCAAGGGTTAATTGATTCAGATCTCTTGGAATTTTTCTCCCAATTTTTAACCCTGGCAAGGTTTATCTTGCAATCTGCAGCAAGATGACCAGCAGAGAGCGAAAGTGAAGCTCACTCACTCCTCTAGGCTCCTTTCAGCTCTGCAGAGAGCCGGATGAAGAGGAGTGCAGGGAAGGTTGTTTGTGGTTCCCCCACCCTCTGTGTTTAGACTGCGGGAACTTTCATCAGGAGAGCTTGGGGCAAGGGGAATCGGATGCGTGTATCATTCCACAGGCCTAGGTCCTCTTTGACCCTAGGTCCTCTTAGTCAAGTCCTTCTCTCCACCTGCCTCTTTGTCACTGGTCATTCTCTGCTCCCTCCTCTGTCGCGTCTAGCGGAGGCTCTACTTTGCTCTGGTGCCTACACTTCCCGACCACACCTTGCGAGGTAGGTAAAGCAGTCTGGTGCTGACAGATCTTTCGGTTGCAAGTTAGGAGACCTGTGTGACCCGCGGAAAGTTGATTAAGCTCTTGAAGCCTCAGTTTCTGCATCTAAGAACTGGGAATAATCACACTGGCCTGTCCCGGTCACATCACAGGGTGGTTGAGGGAAATCATATGAGGTTTTTTAAAAGCATACACTGGCAAAGAGCGCTACATAAACGCCAGGTGTTCCTACTGCTGACTGTGGGGCTCCCTCTCCTACCTACAGACCAAAGCGGTCCTGTCCGCCCCGCCCTGGCCGCACCGGCCTCGCCCACTGCATCTCCATCTTTTCCGTCATTGTCCTTCTGCGCCTCAGAGATGCTGGGTCTCTCCACCTCCCCTGTACATTTCCGGGTCTGGCTCTTGGGCCCCTCTAGCCCCTCGGGGGGCTGTGGTCTCCAGCTCCTGGCGGCAGTCGCTGCCCAGCGCCCCCCGCCCTGTGCACCCTCCTTTGGCACGGCCACAGGGCCAGAGAATCGCCCAATAAGAGCGCTGGGCTCAAGTCTGACAGCTCAGGAAGCGGCCAATCGAGCCGGGCCAGGGAAGGGGGCGCAGTGCTGGGGCTGAAGTTGGGTTGCATAGGGGGAGGGGGACTAAAGGGGGATACAAAAGAGGGGAGATAGGACTGGGGCACAAAAACGAAGGCGGGGGGTGGGGAGGGCCGCGCTCCACCCAGGTCTGGCCAAGGGACCGTGGGCTGGACGCGGCTCCAAGAACCAGAGGGAGGGGGCTCGACGAAAATTTTAAGTGAGAAAGAAGAGCTGGGTTCCACGCGGCCCCCGGAGCCGGGCCTGAGAATGCCCACGGGGCGCCGAGGCGGGGGCCGCGGCCCGGCCCGGGGCGGAGGCGGCCGCAAGTCCTTGTGAGCCGAGGCCGGAGCGCGCGGGGGGCGGGGAGGCAGCGGGAGGAGGGGATGCGGAGGGCGCTCCCGCGGCGGCAGGCGGGCGAGAAGGGAGGAGCGGCGCGAGCGGCCGGAGCGGCGCAGGGCCCGAGGCGTGCATGGCGCGCCCTGAGCCTGGCTCCCGCGGGCCCCCCCGGAGCGCCCCTGGGGCGCAGCGGCTTTTGGGCGGGCCCCTGCCGGCCGGCTGCCTCTGAGTCCCGGCCTTCGATTTCTGGATGCCGTGCTCCCCGGGAGAAGCCCGCCTGCGCTGGGGCAGAACGGCGGCAGCGCCGCGCCGGATTCCGCCCTCTGCCTAGTCCTTCAGCACCCGGCCGCCGTGGGCCCGCCGCCGGCTGCGAGGAGCCTGGAGCTTGCGGAGCCGGCGCGACAGTCCTCCTGGGCCGGCGGGTCCGGGCCAGCTCCGCTTCGTTTTGCGGGGGGAGGGAGGCGAGAGGGGAAGGGCCGCGCTGCGGGAGCAGGTCCTCGCCCCCGCCCCCTGCGCGGACGCACTGAAGGCTCGGCTGGGCTCGGCTTTCCGCGGGGCCACGCTCCCATTCTCGCCGCGGAAGGTGGGGGATGCGGGCGACGGCCCCCCCCGGGCTCCAGGACCCTCCCCCCAGGGCTCCGGAGTTGTTGCTCCGCCTGCCGCCCCCTCCCCCGTCCTCTCCACCCTCCATCCCACCTCCCCACCCCTCGTGAGAAAATAATGCTGGCTGGCGCTCGTACCTCCCAGTCGCTCCCAGTCCGCCGCGAGGAAAGGGCACCCGCTCGGTGTCCACGCCGGGACCCCCGCCGAGCCGCCCCAGCCGCCGCCGAGCCGCGCGTGCCCCTGGGTTCCGCTCAGGCTTAATCTGCGAGCGCCGCGCCCGGGCATTGGCAGCCCCGGGGAGGCGCCGCCTGCAAGGACACCTCTCCGTCCCGCCTCGTCCGCAACTCTGGTCCCTGTCGAGCTCGACGCGAGCCAGGAGTCCGGACGTCCCTCTGCGCGCGGCGCGGCAGCTCCGCCGGTCCCCGCGGCCCCCGCTGGGCGCCAACTCCACCTCGGACCTGGGACTCCCGACTCGGATTCTCAGCCACTTCTTACCTCGGGGCTGTGCCTACCTCCCAGCTCGCCCTCCTTCTCCGCTCAGGACGGGGGTGCCAAGATGCCCCGCTGCTGCGCAGGGCCCCGGGCCGCCCCCGACGAGTGACCCCAGCCTGGTCCCCCTGCTCGGCCGTCCGCCCTCCCCTTGGAGACCCCCGGCCCGGCCCCCGGGGGAGGAGGCAGAAGACGAGGCCGAGAGGGGGATGTCCGGCTCCAAAAGCGTGAGCCCCCCGGGCTACGCGGCATTGACAACGGCAGCACCCACATCCCGGGGAAGCTCGGAACACCGCTCCGCGTGGGGAGCGGCCGATTCCCGCGCCAATGGCTACCCCCACACCCCTGGGGGTTCGGCCCGCGGCTCCACCAAGAAACCTGGGGGGGCGGTGACCCCGCAGCAGCAGCAGCGCCTGGCCAGCCGCTGGCGCCGCGACGACGACGGCGAGGATCCTCCGCTGAGTGGCGACGACCCCCTGGCCGGGGGCTTCGGCTTCAGTTTCCGCTCCAAGTCCGCCTGGCAGGAGCGCGGCGGCGACGACTGCGCTCGCGGCAGCCGGCGGCAGCGACGGGGCGCGGCCGGCGGGGGCAGCACCCGGGCGCCCCCTGCGGGCGGCGGCGGCGGCTCCGCGGCCTCCGCGGCCGCAGCGGGAGGGACAGAGGTGCGCCCCCGCTCGGTGGAGCTGGGCCTGGAGGATCGGCGGGGCAAGGGCCGTGCGGCCGACGAGCTGGAGGCCGGCGCCATCGAGGACGACGAAGGGCCCGGGGATGGTGGCAGCTTGGCGGGCGCGGGCGCGGGCCCCGGCGCGGTTCTGTCGCTGGGCGCCTGTTGCCTGGCGCTGCTGCAGATATTCCGCTCCAAGAAGTTCCCGTCGGACAAGCTGGAGCGGCTGTACCAGCGCTACTTTTTCCGTCTGAACCAGAGCAGCCTCACCATGCTCATGGCCGTGCTGGTGCTGGTGTGCCTCGTCATGTTAGCCTTCCACGCGGCGCGGCCACCGCTCCAGGTGCCCTACCTGTCCGTGCTGGCGGCCGCCGTGGGCGCGATCCTCGTGATGGCCGTGCTCTGCAACCGCGCCGCCTTCCACCAGGACCACATGGGCCTGGCCTGCTATGCGCTGATCGCGGTGGTGCTGGTGGTCCAGGTGGTGGGCCTGCTGCTGCCCCAGCCGCGCAGCGCCTCGGAGGGCATCTGGTGGACCGTGTTCTTCATCTACACCATCTACACGCTGCTGCCCGTGCGCATGCGGGCCGCGGTGCTCAGCGGGGTACTCCTGTCTGCCCTCCACTTGGCGATTGCCCTGCACACCAACGCCCAGGACCAGTTCCTGCTCAAGCAGGTAAGGGCCCACCTGGCCGCAGGGACTGCATTGTGGGGCCAGCAGGCCAGACCTCCCACCCTCACCCTTCTAAAGTGGCAAAAGGGGCAGAGACATGGCTGTTTCATCGGTGTGGTGTCTTCCAGCCCCTTAACCCGCTCTCAGCCCCAGCATTTTCATTTGAAAGGAGTGCCTTGCATTCTATGTAATGTTCCTGGCGCCGCCACAACACGCACTAAACCATAGCCATTATTGTCGAGATGAGAACGAGGAAAGATTTGGAGCAGTCCCCTTCTCTTCTGTGCTTCTGTCCTTGTATCTGTAGAAAGGCCCCTGACACAGCGGCTGGGCCCTATAGCAGATTCCCCCTCGCTAGAGCTACTGCTGGTTTGTTGACGGAGCCCTGGGTAAAGGGCTGGGGAGAGCAGAAAGACCATGGCGCCCTTTGCCCAGTCTTAAGCAACAGGAGTGATAACCTTGCCAGTTGTTTGAGGCTGGGGCTGACAAGTTGTTTCGTTTACAAAAGTGCCCCAAGCCAAAAAGCTGCCGCCAGCAAAGGTAGGAAGGAGCCTCTGAGATGTGTGGTGGCAGGCCCCCTGTTTGCCTGAGCAGAAAGCTAATGTTGGACATTGTGACCCCTTCTTATTGATGTTCCTGGTTCTTGCCTGTGGTGGTGGTTGTGTGTGTGTGTGTGTGTGTGTGTGTGTGTGTGTGTGTGTGTTTTATCCCTGCTGGGACTGGTTGGGTGAACCTAGAACAGTGAGACTTGGGAGAAAATAAAACTTTGTTAACTGGTGACTCCACAGAAGGGTTTTGGGAGAGAGGAATACTTGCCATCCTGACCTCAGAGTGAGACCAGTACCTCCGATGGGCACACCTCCTTTTAGCAGTCCCCTTGTCTGAGGCTCCATGGACCTCATCCACTGACCCTGCTGAGCCTGCTGGTTTGCATTTAGCTCAACTGGGAGAGAGTCAAGTGGGCCAGTGTTGTAGGCCAGCAGTCTCTTGACCACGGTGCCCACTGCAACCCTCTGAGGCTGTTTGCCGTCTCTAGAGAACCTCTTAACTACATTCCATTGTCATTGCCTTCCTCCTCCCCAACTCTGATGCCTTTCTCAGACTTTGATCCTGTTGAGGGCGAACTCTTTCTCGAGGGGTGTTCTTGTGCCCCCTGACTCTCACCCAGGGAATAGCACCGGCATGCACTCCAGGGCTCTCGGCTCTAGCTGCACTTCCAAAGTGCTCCATGACTGGAAAAGAGGGGACCCACAAGCTCTCTGGGCCTCAGGTTCCTTTTTGAGAGAATGAGAGGCTCCTTTACTGTTCCACCCTCCTCTGTCCCAGCCCTCACCTGCGAGGGGCCTTCTCCTTCCATTCCAGCTGCACTGGCCTCTCCCTCTTCTGCATGGTAACAATGGAGTCAGAGCCACAGAGGGGAGCACTTACTGTTCTCCAGGCTCCGTTGGTTTTGCTTCTCATTCAATGTAAGCCCCTTGGACTCAGGAATCCTGAATTGTATGTGTTTTTCCTCTTCTACCCTCTAGCACAGTGCAGGGTACTTAGGAGGGATTTAATAACTGTTGCCAGTTTGGTTGGGTTCCAATGAGTGGAGTAGGTGGGGTTGTTTAATGCTAAGTTGAAGTTTTTCTGATCTGGGATCAGAAGAAAAACTTTAGACATCAGCTTTGAACTTGAGAGGAACCTATTGAGAGATGATGGTTTAAAAAAAATTAACTATTACTGTTAGTGCTTTAAAGGCTTCAGCTCCTTTGACCTGAGGACTCGAGCTGTCACATGGGTGTTGCATCTTTGGGGGTTGTTCCTGGCTTGGATGAGTGTAGCTTTTCTGCAGGGGGAAGGGCATATCATCCACACAGAGCGGTAGAGATCTCCAGGATCGTTTAGACCAGACTGGGAGACAGGGTCTGATTACAGCCGTAGCAATCCTGCTTGTATGATTACCAGAGATTGGAGTCAGATCCCAGGGAGAGAGTGCTGAACCTGAGGGACTCCAGCTCCATGTTAGCATGAAAATGTCATTGCAGCAACAGTGCCTGGCTTCCCCTGCCAGTTCCTCAGGCCAGTTCCTCCCTTCTTCTCCCCATCGCTACCAGTCCCCCACCCTCGGCTTGTTTTACCCACTGTGGCCTTTAGACCTTGGCTTGGGTGTAGGCTTTTGGGTGGATTTACGCTTAACTTCTCAAGATCTTCCTTGAGCATAGCAGAGCTTGTTAGGAGTGGTCCCCTACAAGGGAATGCAAATGTTTCTTTTTGGCTTCAGAGAACACTGTATCCTTTTGTTTGTATTTGAATTTCCGTTTTGATTGTGTCTGATGTAAAATTTTTATTTCTTGAGCAACGGTGGGAAAATATAAGTGGGACAGTTCAGCATTAACGTCTGCCTCAGGTTACCCCAGAGTGGCAGGCAGTCGAGGATGGCTTGGGTTAGATGCCATCCCTCCTAAGTACCCTGTACTGTGCTAGACAAGAGATGGTAGAAGAGGGAAAACCCCTGTAATTCAGGATTCCTTAGTCCAAGGGACTTACACGCTCATTTCTTTGATGAGGACCCTGGTCCAGGGACATGGGGCAGCAGTGTCGTGGGCACCCAGTAGACCCTCAGGAAACTATTGGCATTTCTTTACTTCTCTTCCTGCGAGGCTGGCCCCCTCGGACCCTGCTACTTTATTCTTCCCCAGCCCCTTGTATGTTTGGAGCTCTGCCCTTTGCTCCAATTAGGAGGAGAAAACATTTGGTTTCTTAACAGGTGCCTTCTGATGGATTTTACTTAGAGAGGATGGAGAGGCAAGGTGGGGCAGTCCTCTTTGGGGGATGATGTTTTTTCTTCTCTTCATGACATCTCTGGCTCGCGCTCTTCCCCTGGTGTCCTCCTGCCCCGCTCTGCTCTTCCTCTCTCACTTCCTCTCTCTCCCCACCCCCTCCATCCCCCTGTTGCTCTCTGTCCACCTCTCCTCTCTGCTTGCCTGCCTGCTCTTCTCCATCTCTTACTCGCCATCTGCAGCCTCTCAGCCTCTCCTTCTGTGCTCTTGTCTCACTGTGGTCTCCTCAGTGGAGTACAGTAGGAGCGTCACAGGGTTGTTTTTTTCTCCTTCTTTGCGTGTTACAAGTCCCTCTGCTACACCCATACCATAAATAACACTCGAGCATCTGCCAAACACATTCCTCACTTGTGTTAATAGGCTGTGATGATGCTGGAGCCTGTTGCCATGGCAACCTCATTTTTGTTTGACTGTATCCCACTCTGCTACATAAAGCTCTGCGTGCACTCACACACAAACAAGCACGCTCACACAACTATTACATATACTGAGCTATTAAAGGTCATTTTGGAGAAAAATCTCTGAGCCTTGTGAGGGTGGGTGGTCATTTTGCCAAGGAGAGGAGCGTCTGGTGTTGCTTTAGGAGGTGATAATGGATGGAAGAGCTCTTTGGAAAGTTCTGTTCAATGTGGGGTATTATTATTCTGCAGCCACATCTAACCTGCCTGAGGGACCCCATGTGGGTCCTGTGAGCTTGGAAGAGCTGTTAGAGGAGATTGCCCGGGAGAGCTGTTGGAGGTTGTCCTTGCAGTGTGGGATGACCCATCCTCCACCCAGCCTCCCTGCAGCTCCTCCTTCTCTTCCCTCTAACCCTTTTGGAGAAACTTAGTGATTTTTTGCATTTCATCCTTTGTGCCTGTTTGAACCCACAACTGTCGCCAGTTGTTCAAGATATCAGAAAGGCACAGGCACTGTGTGGGTGATGTCTGTGACTGTGTGAGTGCCTGCAGGGAGGAGGCTGGGAATGGATGGGGGTGGGAGCCGACTGCTGTGGTTGCCAAGAGGTGGGTATGGGTGTGCGTGTGTGCGTGTGTGTGCGTGTGGGCATGTCTCTGGTGTGGGCTGGCCACAGATAGTGGATGCGTTATGCAGATGTGTCTGTCACGTGGGCTGGCCCCGGGGTGTGTGTGTCTGACTGTTCCATGGCTGGCCCAGGTGATGGAGGTCGGCCTGGGAAACCTTTGTGTTGACTTTGAAAGGAGATCATTGCAGCTCTGTCCTGTTTATTCTTGGCTGGTGAGTGGCTTCCTGTGGCTGCTTGCCTTTCTGATTCTGGGCCTTGAACGCCCTTCTGACCTTGACCTCTGACTTCTTAGGGAAGTACCTTGGATGCACCCCCCCCCTTTCCATAATGAGGCCAGGGGCTAGACTTGAGTGGTTAGCTCCCCTGACCCATGGACTGCCCCCTTTCCCTTTCAAACACCTTTTCTGTTAACTCACCGCTCAGCTGCCTAGTGAGGGCCACTGAAGGGCTGCCTCCTAGTTCTGGAACTTGGCCCTGAGGCCTGTTTGGTGGGTCATTGTGGCTGCCCAATGTGTGCTCCTGGCAACCACTGCCTGGCTGACCGCCTGGGTGGTGTGGAGGGGGACACACTTCAACTGCAACCACAGGGAACTGGGAATGGCCTGCTACCAATTACTTCCCCAACACCCGAATTCCTAGACAGAGAAATCAGCCTTTGTGAACTCCAGCAGCACAGCAGGCTGGGGTGGGGGTTGGTGCTGCTTTTGCAGCTGAGGAGGGTCTCCTTGTCTTGCCTCAAGGCTAATTGTATTTGCCAATTATTTTTGCTAATTGCTTTCGATTAAGTTGCCTCCTCTATGGGTGGGAAGGGGGTGCTTAGAGGGGAACAAAAGCCTCTGGGGTGGGGGATGAGCGGGCTTCTAGAGGAGGGGTGTCATTTCCTAGACCCCGGGGATGCCTCTATTCCTGTGAGGAGGACTGCGGGAATAGCAGAGACCCAGCGAGGAGCAGAGTGATCAGCTGCTGTATTTGCAGAATGTTCACTGTTCATAATTCAATGTAAGTTTTGATCTGAAGCAAGAGCAGGAGGTCTATGTTTTGTGGAATGTAGAACAGTGTGCTCATGTTCCTGTACAGAGAAGACACAGACCGTGTCTTAAACCCCATCACGGAGACCTGCCCCGCCTCTCAGAAGTCCTAAAAATCAGCTTCACAGG